ATTCACTTCTAGATTTCAATTGAGACATATATTCTAATTAAACAAGTCATAGTCAACCGTACATTGCACGTTATTCATTTTTTTTTAAATAAATGTTTGATATTTGTTTGCTATATGTGAATTAATTGTCTTTTGCTTGATCATTATCTTAATCTTAATTAATACATAATGGAACTTTTGATTTTTTATAAATGTTTGATATTTGTTTGCTATATTTGAGTTAATTTGTCTTTTGCTTGATTATGATCTTAATCTTAATTAATACATAATGGAACTTTTGACTTTCTTACTAAAGGCCATGATTGCTAAAAATTAAAATCCATATTTAACATAAATTAAAGTTAACAATGAATTTTAAATATGTGCTAAAAACATTGCTTCTATCAACCATTCTGCCCAATAATCCACCAGTAGTGGGAAGAGGGGGCTATCATACATACAAGAGTCTTCCAATTCTTACAAGACCATAACCTTTGCACTGAAATAAGACTTTTCTCTCTCTCTTAAAGAGAGTTGTTAACCAGCTCAATCATTTTTCTTAGAAAACGATTAAGAATCATTTCGTCTATTGCTTCCTCCAACAGATTCAATTACATCCTTTCTTCCTATTCTGACTAGACTTGCCGTTAGAGTCAACCTCCCCTTGAGTCTGGGCCCTCTTTGTTTTAGCATCTACAATGGAAGGAGAGTAGGGTCCTCCAGCTTAGAAGGAATGTCTCAACCATTTATTAGGAAACTAGGCTATGATTTTCATCTAGAAAGAAATATGAATGGGCTATTTGTCCTCCTATTCACTCCTATGGAGGCCTTATAAGGTTGTAGCCTTCCACTTCCCCGAGAGTGTCGACTGAAGCTCAATCATTCCTCATTCACTTCAAGCCATAGATGATAGATGCGGTGATCTTTGTAAGGATATCTAGAACTCGCTCGTCGGACTTACAATAATTGAGTTGAACTTCTTCATTTTTATTTTCTAATAAAAAGTGGTACTTTATTGCAATGTCGTCTAAAGTCCATAATTGACTAGCATCTGTGAACGAAATAAATATAAAATTAGACTCCTAAAAAGTTACACTACCTAAGGAAATAAATAAAAAACTAAACTCCTAAAAAGTTACGCTACCCAATTGAGCCCTCGTGGCCTCATTGTTTGGTAAAAATGTATTTTGAATCCAAAATAACATTAATGAATCATAGACTTGGCCGGCCCTTCTAATACTTTTTCTTTGTCCTGGTCCCACCTTTTCAATAATGATATTTCATCTCGTCGCCTTCTCGACTTTGCCCATCAAAAATTTGCAAATGGACAAAATTTTTTCCCCCCCCCCCCCCCCCAAAGTGGAGCAACCAACCATCTACTCTTCTTTCATCTCTGCCTCCTGGAGCATATTTCAGTGGTGCAAAAGATAAGAGTGAGGTAATTTTAACCTTACTGACAGTCGTAGTATGAGCAGATGCCTCACACCGTCAGATGCATACACGTGTCCCACATCTAACTGCTATTCTCAACTATAAATACCCAAGATTTGACAAGAGACAAAGATAATGAAACTCTTACAACTTAACTCTTCATAACAAGTAAATATATATTCTCCTCCCCACCCTTTTTGCATAACATTGGCATTCCTGACATTTATTAATTACGCACATCACATCAATCAACTCTAGAGACGCGCATTATTTCGATGTGAGCATAACTTACTAAAAATATATATAAATAAGAAAATGTAATAACATGTCAGTATTAATAATTATAAATGCAATGCAATGTAAAGATTTCTGTTCAAATGTTACTCCACGTCATTTGTTATGTGATTGCAGGAAACGGTTGTGATATTTGGTTTGCATGCACATAATTCGATGAGATAGAATTGAGTCAAAATTTATTCAATCAAATAAAAAAAAATATTCACCATTCTCTTCGATAAACAATTATGGAAAATAATAATATTCAATATATAAAAAAATATTTATAATTAAACTAATGACCTGTATAATTTGATTAGTTATGAGATGAACGAGGATGTTCTGAACGAAGACTTTGATGGATTTTAAAGGATTATAAATTCTAATGAATTTTGTAGATTTGAATAGATTTTCACAAATTTCATACAAATCTCATCAAATATAGTGAAATTTCAAATGATTTGGTTGTATGTATTTTTAGGCTTGAAATCTATCCAAATATTTTAAAATCCCTCTTTTTATGTAATCTTTATAAATCCACTATTTATTGAGGATATCTAAGGGGGGTGTATTCAATTGGGATTTTTAAAAACTTTTGGAGACTTTTTTAAGTGGGTGACTTTTGTGGACTTTGTGAAATTTTAAGTAATTTTTATGAATTTGGTAGGAATTAGTAAAAAATTTTCGTGGATTTGTGGAGACTTTTACTAAAGACTTTTAAAGGCTTTTGAGGAATTTTTTTTTTTTTTAAGGAAATATGCTTTTCACAGTGTTAAATGTGAGATATCGAGAAATATTTATAAGAAGAATTTTTAAAATCCATCACAATCTCAATTAAAGACACCGTCCGAAATTTGCACGGCATAATCCCGAGAGGAGTATATCAGTGTTAACGTTTTCTACTTTTTTAGAAGTCCTTTTCCTTCTATAATTCCATAGTGAAAGGACTCTTGATCAATTGGGATTCTTTGGACAGCTCTATAAATGAGCCTCTGTCATTGTATTTTTTACATCAATTGGGATTCTTTGGACAGCTCTATAAGTGAAAGGACTCTTGATCGATTATATCTCATCGCATTATGTGCATGGAATTGGAAGAGATAGAGGAAAAACCTAGAGGGAAATAAGAATAGCATACTCTTTTTAGAAATCTCTCTATGGATGAGAGATTTTCGGAGAAAAATCCTATTTATATTTTCTATTAAAAAGTCTCTGAAAGTCCAAGAAATTTTAAATTCCCTGAAAGTCCCTCTAAATTGAATACCCCAAAACTTGTAGAGACTTTTAAAAAGTTTCAATTGAATACCCCGTAACTTCTGGAGATTTTTTAAAAGTCTATAAAAGTCTCTATTGAATACACCCAAACTTTTTAAATCTCTAAAAGTCTTTAAAAGTCTCGATTAATACACCCCCCTAAACTTTAAAAGATTTTATTGAGTTTAATTAAAATCTTGATTGGGAACATTTAAATTTTTATGGATTTTATTAAAATATATTAAAATTTCAATTGAGGATATTTAAATTTAGAAGAATTTTTAAAATCCATCACAATCTCAATTAAAGACACCGTCCGAAATTTGCACGGCATAATCCCGAGAGGAGTATATCACTGTTAACGTTTTCTACTTTTTTAGAAGTCCTTTTCCTTATATAATTCCATAGTGAAAGGACTCTTGATCAATTGGGATTCTTTGGACAGCTCTATAAGTGAAAGGACTCTTGATCGATTATATCTTATCGCATTATGTGCATGCAAACCAAATATCACAACCGTTTCTTGCAATCAAATAACAAATGACGTGGAGTAACATTTGAACAGAAATCTTTACATTGCATTGCATTTATAATTATTAATACTGACATGTTATTACATTATTATTATTATTATTAAAGTTTAATTTTATAATTATTATTAATTGCATTGCATTGCATTTATAATTATTATTATTAGAACCAAGAACCATCCAATTTTGATGCGGTTTTAATTCTGTCACCTAGAATCGATAACGAGTTCTAATCCAGTCTAATTTTTAATTAATTATATTTATATATATTTTTTGGTGAATGACTCATTAAATAATATTTTGCACAAAGATTGAAGTTAATTTTTGCATTGAACGAGGACTCATTGTTTTATTTTTGGATTATAATACTGATGATAGAACTTTGTACTGTAGTTTGGATTAGTATTTGACATTTTTTGATTATGAAACCTGAACCATATCAAATCGGATCCATTCCATTATTGCAGTTCACTAATTATAGATGGTGTCAATGGTGCCATTATAAAACAAGCATTGATTCTTTGTTGGTGATTAAGTTCTCTTCAAAATCGAACCGAATTTTATTTATGGCCTACCTAGAAAATAATACAACATAGATTGAAAAATATAACGTTCAAAAATAAATACAGCATTGTAAAATTTAAAAACCATGGACCCTAAAATAGTAGTCAGTATCATTTAAAGTTAAAATACAATAATATACATGTAAAATAATCAAATAAATACACGTTGAAATTGCAACAAGAAAAAAAAAATAGAAAAGGATTAAAAGATTTAGTCCCCATTTGATTTGACTAAAAAATCGAAATAAATTTAAGTCAAAATCAATAAATAATTTTATTCATACATTTTAAAAAATTCACAACTTTTTAATCACATATTCTATTAACTTTTATTAATATATACTAAAATTTTAAATTTTATCTAAACCGAACTGGGCTCACCTAAAGAGATTGGAGACTTGGACGGGAGTGGAGTCTCTAGCCTTGTTGCGACGAGCCTATTGGAGGCGACTCCACTGGGTCGTTAGTCAGAATTTTGGTTTAGATTTGTGGCTGGGAGATTTTAGTTGAGTTATAATTTTATTTTATTTTAAATTAAAAACGTATTACAAGCATTGGTAGGGCACCTGGCAAATGCTTAATTAATGCTGTTTAGATCCACTAGTCTCTGTAGATGATGAAGATGAAATTAAATGAATCATCTAATATCACATTAACGCTACATAAATTGAGATTATAAATAATAGTCGACAAAAAAAATTCAATTTTGCCTAATTTGCCTTTTCACGTTAGCATTTGAAAGAGAAAATATTCACTGATTTAGGCGACAATGAATGCTTGATCCATTATTCAAAACATTAAAAGCTTCTAGTCTATTGAATTATAGATCGAGGGTCTCACTGTCACCTAGGCCAGTTATTATCTCTAGCGATGATGAATGACATTGCTCAACGGAAAATGCCTTGTTCAAAGGTCGTGACCGACTATAGCAATCGTCCAATATCCCACCACCATAAATAAGTGAAAATTGAGTAAGAAACTATCAGACCGACCAGAATCCCCTTCCACGAGCATGTTAAGTGGGTATTTGACTGAAATTCCCATAAAAAAGAAAAAAAAATAAACATTGAAGTTTCATATTACACAATGACGAATCATGCTTAAGCAGAGGGGCACAAAATCTTAGTAGAGTGTCATGACCCTAAAACGAGTGTAGTAAATAATCATAACCACCACTGCGAACCCTACAACATGATCCCAATCGGAACAGTAATGCACTGTACATATGCTGAGTCGCGTAACCCCCTGATAACTAAGAATGGGATATCCTCAGATTTCAGCGTTAAAAATTACTGACCCCATACTCCAACATTGCAACCTCTTGATCTACTCTCCAATAGTTTGCATCGTTGAATTCCTTCATCCCCGATCCATCATCTTCAGAATCCTCCTTTTCTTGACCCTTTGGAGCTAGATTGCTCTTCAATAGCCCAGCTTCCCCAACAATCCCCTCCTCGAGAGCTGGCTCCATTGCCTTCTCCGTCCCCTCTGGTTCTACACCCACAAACTCAACGTCCTCTTCAAACAGGGAGGGTACAGCGATGCTTTTTTGACCTGGATCAGATTTAGTTGAATCATCACTGGAATCTGTAGAACTGGAGGTGCCATTTGGCAGAGAGCCTCCAATTGAAGTGGTGGAACTAATTTGGCCAGTGCTCGTCTCCACTGAACTAGCAGGATTGTGACTAGCGTCGTTCTGGTCAACAAACGGGTTCACACTTGATGCACCAACCTGAAAGTCTGATCTCTCTCCCCATGCGACCCATTCAGGTATGGGCCTGTCTTCAAACAGATCATCGTTGTCCGAGGTCTCAAAACGGAAGAAACCAAGGTCACCAGATGCACTGGCCTTCTCATTCTGGGGAACTGAGTCGTCCCCATTTACAGGGTTGTTTCCATAGAAGTTATCGAACGGGTTTGTCTTAGAGCCAGACGAGCCATTGGCAAAAGTGTTGCTCTCAGTTAATTCCTCATCCTCTCCGACCACTACCTCATCATCACTACTGCTGTTACCACCATTTGATGTTCCGTTCAAATTGATATCATCCATCATATCACGAAGTGAAGTTCTCCCAGGTGCATCACCAATTTTGTCATCTTGGAAAGTAAACCAGTTGGAGTTTGTAAATAGACTTCTGCAAGAAAGAATCAAACAGTTTCAAATGATGACAAAACGCTAGCTTGATAGCCAGTTTCTAACTTCTTGAGCATCACAAAAGCCCACACAATAATATTGCAAAATAGAGGAAAATATTCAATTTACTATTGTATGCGTATTCATTCTTGCAAAAACTCCCACTTCTTGTCTTTCAAAGTCTTTCGTATTTTCTTTTCCCCTTCTATACAATTCTTATGACAAATCTATTTTTGGGACTTGTTACAGTTATTGCAAGAGGACAAACACCGCTTATCCTGTGAAACAAAGTATATAAACCTACAGTTGCAGTTGCAAATCTTTTTCAGCATATAATCAAAATAGTTGGATCTATCCTATTTGTGCAACTTTAAATTTCACTAGAAAATCACAATGAAACTCACCTTCCCTGGTCATCACCCAACCTTAGGGATGAAATCACAACTTCTGCAGATTCATCATCAAAGTAAACATCCTGCATTTCATCAATCAATGACCAAAATTAAGCACTGTGGAATTCATAAAGGAAAGGGGTTGCAACACTTGTTTCCCCTATGTGTCCTTTCCACACAATATTAATACAACTAGCAGCAGTGCCTGTATCTCTGGCATTCCATGTGGGTTTATTACTATAAACAATATAGTATATTACAGAAGCATGTATCTTATTAAGATATATGTGGGAGAAGTAATAACACATAATACAGTCAAAAATACATACAAAAGAAATGTTATATAAAATGGAAAAAATCAAAACTGAGACCAACAAAATGTAAAATCTGTAAAAAATGCATCCTGGAACCATCCAAGACACCCACTATCATCCAATATTGGCTGGTACGAGCAAGAATGTGAAACTAGATTTATAACAGTCATTTCTACATTATATATCCATTCTTTAGTTTCATATCTGCCAACAGATAACAAATAAATTAAAGATTAAGCATAAATTACCTCATCAATTCTCTCAAGAGATCCATTACCCTGCAAAAGAGCAATTAAGATCATAGATAATTTCGAAAGAATTAACCAATTTATTTCTTGAGATGATTACTAATGGTTTTTCTTCTTCTGGTATTGCTGTTTGAGCCTACCTCTGTATCAACATTATCATATGCGTTGTATCTGAATGCTTGGCTTAAATTATTTGCAAGAGCTGCAACATCATAATCCCTATCATGGACGTCATCCTCATCGCTCTCCCTGGTCCTGTCTTGCAATGCAGTTGGCCGACTGCACACATGAAATAAAACAGAGAGATGAAACAGTACCCCCACTTGGCAAAGTACAAATTAAAACAGAATCACACAAATTATATTTCAGAAAGGCATGAAGGAATATAAACATGTTCAAAATTTTGAGAGAACATCTCGGAATTCACTCGTGTAGTTGATTAATGTGACAATGCTTCATGGTAAATGGGCAACAATAATTTGTACTAGTTTCATTTTTTATGAAGTGCAAAAGATAAAGAAGAGGCATACCCGCAAGCCCATCGGTATACATTTTCCACCACGTTACGCTCCTGTAAGATGGTAGTCTGCCACTCATTCCATTCATTATTTTCCTAAAGCAAACGAAACAATATTGCATGAGCAGAGGGGGGAAAATAAATAAATAAAAATTGAAGGCATATAACTTATTGTGAAACTGTCAATATTTGCATAGACATTAGCCTTTGTTTTATACAGCAAATGTAACATTATAAAGATTCAAGTTTCACAAAAAAGTTCAGAAGAGCCATATCAACAGGTGCTTTAAGGGAAGCCGTTATCTGCAGCTTGGCTAGGGGACTTGAAAACATATCATGGACAATTCAGATACTGATCACGTGATGATATGCATATCGAGCATAGGTCAAAATAATGGCAACAAGCAGATAGAGAAGACAACAAAACTGAAGATTTTTCCAAACAATTCCAAGTACTGGCTCAGTTAAAATTGTTCTCTTTAAGTTGGAAATGAAGAATTGAAGACCGCCTTATCACAGACCTGAAGATATTGCTGAATGCGTTTGTCATTGCTTCCCAACTGAACAAGTTTATTTGATATTCGAGTCAGATGTCCAAAGTACCCTGCTCGGGGTGCCTGTCTTCCAGCAAAAGGTATAGTTGGCTGCAAATACAAGAGACGCACAATCAGATTTTTCACTTCAAGTCACACGAAAGGAAGGAGGAACTGTAAAGGAAAAATGATGAGAAAGGATAGGAGGATGATGATTTGAAAAGAAAACAGGGCAGATCTATTTTCAATACAAACAAAATGGCAGGAACTACCAGGACAACTAGAAAAAATATCTGTTCAATTTGCCACGCACAAAAAAATGGCTAAATTTTATGAATTGCTTCCTGAATTAAAGTATTTGTACCCTCAATTTTCCAATCCTCACAGACATGCCAGTCCTAACCTTCTACACAAGGATAAATGCGAGGCGAAAGCAATATGCCATGCATAATTGGACACATAACCAGAAAATTTTGAATCATTATTTGACCAGAAAACTACCCGATTGAGTTCAGCAGAAAGAGTAGGATATTTATCTGTCTGAAGAACTTTTCCAACCAAGTTACACTCTTGAAAAAGATGATCAACAACGGCATTATTTTTGCTTTCCAAGCATGAATATATTATACTCTCCACATGATGATGCAAGGCATTATTGTATGGATACCTACATCAGAAAAAGTAACATATTAAGAAACAACTTAGCAGTTCTAAAAGCTGGTGATCCAACTGAAGCTTCCATGGGACAAAATATCAAAGCTTTCTTTTCTAGTAATCAGCCGATTTAGTGTGCTATTAAATGCCAAAAATTACTTAATGAAGTAACGTCTTACTCGAAAAAGAGATCAAGGATCCTCAAAATTGTCCCTGAACCGACCAATTCCTTCTCTGCCATCTCATTGCCAGTTTTCAGCAGCTCCGCAATGAATTCCACAACCTATAAACAGGAAGACAATTGCATAAAATGTTAAAACGCCAAATATAGAATCATGTGGATCCTGTGTCCAACCAAAAATTCAACAGTTCACATCATTTTGAGGGTTGCATGAAAAACAATTAACCAAAAATTAACATATCAACCTTTAAACGGTGTTTCCCAAGAGGGGGCTGTAATTCACCATAAGTTGTAAGTAGAATCTTCTCATCAGATGAAACTCTTAACAGTGTCAGCAAGTCCCCTACACCAGAAATTATATCAATGCTTATACTGGTTACAAATTGAATAAAATAGGGAACTCATGCCAAGCCACCTGTTATTACTAACTAGAAAAAAGTGAAAGTTAAGGGCATTTGATGGTATTTGAGTATTTTCTTAAAGGTTCTTTCTATCCCCCCAAAAATGTCAATTTTTAGATCATGCCAACAAAGGGTGAGACAACCCCCCCCCCCCCCCAAAACCCCAACTCAAAAAACAATGAAAAAGAACACAGTAAGTACTAAGTAGAAGCATAAAGAATATTTTCTTTCTAGCCAATATGTCTACCTCTTCACTTTTGACACATGCCATTGCCTGCCTAGGACAGTTAATGGATCATCTACCACTCAGCAAGGTTTATGTCACTGAACCTAGCTTTTCCCTTTGAAAATACCAAGTCTGACTTGATAGTTGAGGAAGATTTCAGTAAAAACTGAATTCTAAAACACATTCCAAGGAGTAAATTATAGATATTATGCCTAGGTTTCAATGGAGTAATAAAACATGATCATGATGCATAATTTATTTACTTTTAACTATATCTGGGTATGTTTATAGCTATAAAACAAGTCATTCTGTCGGCCATACCACCATCAAAAACAGACTCTAACCACTTTGTATAGAATCCTGCTCTTATTACCTTTGTTCCCAATTTATTTGGTACAAGTATTGGTTTGTTGCTGCATATAGTTGAAATTTGTGAAATGCAGCCTACATAAAGGATGCTGACCAACAAAAATTTCTCCGTTGAAATATTTCTTAAAGATCGCAAAGCTATTTGCCTGTCATACTTATTCTCTAAAAAGCATCATTATAAAGTTACACATTTTCTTCTGAATAATCCTAAGAAAAATAAGCAAAATACTGGGTATAAACCAAAAATCATTATAGAAACAGATCTATAGACCATATGAGTCAAGATTCAGCGAACAAGAAATCTGACAAGTGGCCCCTAGTACATGTAACAATACAAAAAGAACTATTTTCTTTTGGCTTGTTTTACTGATCATAAAATAAATATATAAACACATACAGAGTAGCACAAGAGAAATTACTAACATATGCAGTCAGACTCACCCAGTTTGGGAAGCATTGCACCAACAGTATCAGGACTAGCCAATTGATATACGTGTTGGCTTTTAAAGGAATACATTATGGGTGAAGAAATTGATCTTCTAGGATCCAACAAAGAAATACACACAGACAACGAGTGGACAAGGGCAGATTTTGAATGTGAGTCTTTAAGTGCATGATCAAATATCCTTGCAACAAAACTGCACATAAAGAAAGCTACAGAGTCAATGAATATTCATATCATTTATCCAAATAACAGGCCAATCTAAGAGGAGTATTCAGGTTTAGTCATACAACCTTGGGCTAGATAGTTTGGTGGCCAGAGGTGATGGAGCATTTCGGGTTATGGCACATAAAGTTTCTGCCGCATTGGCATGTACTTCAGGAGTATTCTGGAGAACACAAAACATTTATTATTTATATCATCAAATATTTACATCTCATTAGCCAAACAATCCCTCACTACAAGTGTAACTAATACTCCATGCTGATAAACTTGCAATTATGCAAAGCTTCCATTTGCCAAACACCACACTTTCCCTTCCAAATGAAAAGATATCAAATATGGCTGAACCAGATACACGAGATGAAGATGGACAACAACTATATACATGGAAACATTGAGTAATGTAACAATCCTTCAGATAAATTTCAATTTAAGAAGTTCCTTCTTCCTTGGCTTTCAAGAAGGGACACATCATAGTATAACCTTGACAAATGAATGAAGTTCTAGATCTTCCTATTATTGTAATAATTTAACAAAAAAAAAATGATAAGCACTAAGAAGCGTGAGATCTGCAGATTAAGGTTCTGTAAGCATTGCGTAATTTGCATTGTGCACTGAAGCCAAAGCTGACAATTAGTTCCATGACACTATGGTAATACAAAAAATTATGTGAATAAACTAACAGATAAACCCAATATAAATCACTTTGGATTGCAGGGCCTTCAAGCATTCGAAATACGCCAAAACCATATACAGTGACAAATAAAATGCAGGGGAAATAAAATTGGATAAAAAGGACAATTAATTATTTACTTAAAGGTCCACAAGCTGCATAGACAAAATATAATAAATTGAAGGTGACTAGAGGATTATGAGAATGGAGATAAACAGATACATTTATTAGAGAATCCATGGAGAATATGCAAAACCCAAGCTAAACACAGCCATAGTTATTATATTACACAACTAGGCTCAAAGGACAAATATAACCACCTTGATATAACTGGCAACAAAAACTAGACAAGTAACTATCGACAAATACTAAAATAGACTGGCAGTCGAGGTTTGGTTCATTTCCTACTCCAAAAAAGGGGTTACTTGTATAGCCAAGATGCCATTTTTTGAGACTTACTGCTGTATCCAATTTGTCCACGATCATTTCCAGTAAGTCACTATCAGCCAACCATTGTATCACATCCATCGAATTGGAGTATAGATGGTCGTCGGCACCTACAAGTCGCACCAACACCTAATAATAAAGAGTTAATGAGAAGATAATAACCCACCGAAAGCAGTAAAATATTTTTCGATTCCTATACAAGGTTTAATCAAAGAAACTGCATGACAAAGATTGCAATTTATATGATATCAACCTCCATGATGGATGTAATGCCAATCAGATCAACAAGCTGCTTGAAAACATCTTGATGGGCCTGGACAGAACCAACATCAGCTGAATGTAAGATGCCTAGTTAAGAAAATATTGTTATTTGAAACAAAAGAAAGCTTCAAATGGTAAAGTTTATAATAAAATTTACAATTTGTTTCTCCTTGTACATGGAGAATATGCCTGTCATTTTGGGCATCAAAGGGAGAGTATAAACTAGTTCCCAATACCACAAGCCTTAACTGACAGACAATTATATTGAGGATAAGGCTTAGTATGTTGTTGTAGCTCAAGGCTTCCCATCTTTACATTTGTCAAAAGATTCAGATTCAAAATGCACAAAATTCAATCATTTAGCAGCTTGATCAAAGCAAAATTTAAGGGAAGCTAAATGAATAAGGCAATTAAATCCCAAGGACTACAACGATAGGTGTCATCAAACCTCCACAGCCAAAATATAATTATAGCAATAGTAATAAAAAAATTTTCCCTAAACAGCACTTCCCAGTGCTTGATGGCTTCACTTACCCATTCCCTATGCCTATAGAAAACCTGAAATTTCCATATATAGACCCGAGTTTCTACTCATACTTTACTAGCCCCTGGAATTTTTTCCGTAGAGATGTGGCACAAGTCATTCGCAGTTTTCCCTTTCCCATTTAGAATAAAAAGCATTATTAGAAAAGAAAGCATATGGTGTTGACAACTAATTTAAGATCTCAAATCTGTAAGGAATTTTGTTTAACAAATTTAAACTCAACGGCAAAAGAACCTTGGGCAATATATCTGTCATCAGGTAAGTCAAGAACGCTCCCCTAAGTGACGAAAGTTTGGTGATTAAATAAATAATGTGTACGAGCCATTTCCTCATTTCTATTCTACAATAAAATGACTGGTTATGACTACTGCTTATTATGCACTGAAAATGACAAAAAAACACACAAAATGTTCAAATTTTTTCAGCTATCAATAGGTGTACCATGTATAGATGCTTTATTTATCACCAGATAGAGATGAACGCTATATGGCAGCGGCAAGAATTTGAAATTATCAGGTGTATGCTTGAGAGTAGATGAGATGGGTAAAAAAACATGGAGTAATGCAAGTATAAACTCCTGACAGCAGGAGATTTTTCCTGTCTTTTTTAATCTGGAAATTTTCAAACGCAAGTCAGAACTCATAAGTTTATTGAGATCTCATGCTAAAAGTAAAATTATTAATTATTCAGTTTTATTCTCGTAATAATGATTGCAGGAAAAGGAATCAAACGTCAAAAAAGGACCTCCCATTTTCACCATTTAAAGAAATTCATTTCACCCGATTTTCTGGCTTGCCATTGGAAACTTTTTCCGCCAATCTATTTAACGAATAAACTTTGCCAATCATGAATATTGACTAAGCCAAATTACATGCATTGATAAGACAAATTGCAGAGTGATACATTACATCAAACGATAGGAAAGAAGGTTTCAGAATTGTGACACACGACTTAAGGCAGACCTTTATTTAATCACACACACACAAAAACACATCAATGGAGATTAAACTCAAATTACCTTCACATAATTCATAAGTGGAACAGTCTTCCGCAACATTAGGCATATTACAATCTGCAATGAAATAAGAAATTAGATCAAACAAATTACTCGTCATAACACCATAACAAACACTGAACAAAAACATTTTACAAAAAGCTCATACAACAGAGTACCTTACTAAAATATCCTGCCAAAAGGGCACTATGAGGACGATTAGGTTCCAGAAAAGAGAACAGTAAATCCATAAGCTGCAGAAAATAGAGCATACGATTAAACTATCGTGTTCTAGATCACCAATTTGGCCTACAACCATGTTTTTCCAATTGTTTGATACAATGATCTCACCTCCTCTTCCTCCACCAAAGTCTTAAAGATGACATCAATCTCACATGTAAAAACTTCACAAGCAATGAAAGGATACCTACATTATGAAACAGGTCAAACAACCACAAGATACTGTCCGTTCTAAATTACAATTCTAGAAGCAGGACCGGAGAACTTTTAGGAAATATAATTATAAAGTAATGCATAAAAGTTACAAATGATCTCTGAAATGCTTATTTTTTGCTTTGGAACCATCTAAAACTCACTTGAACATTCGTTTACTATCTGCATCCTCTGGGCACTCCTCAACTATGTAGCGCAGCAACTGTTCAACTTGAGCTCTATCTCTTAAACTAAACAAGAATGAAACTTCATATTATCTTCAAGGAACTTCAAAACTAAAGGTCAAATCAGCAGGTCATGGGAAGGGCAAGATTGCAAAGGAACCATGACTTGTTAAAAAGTTGCTCATAACGCAGATGACAAAGACTTATTAACAGAAATATGTGCAGTTCAAAAGTAAAGGTAGCATACAAATTTATGAGGCGACTATTCAATGATTTGCATTCTTGAATTATCTCTTCTTCATCCAGAAGCTCTTCCAATGTGAAATTTTCCTTGTCCAACACCGATTCAACCTAAAGGTAACAAAAAAAATATCAAAATGTTAGCAACAGGAAAAGGATAAAGGAAGCAAACATAACCGAGGATTAATGATGAAAAAGCCCACCGTAAGAGAGATAATAATCAACAAAATGGAAACAAAAATAAACAAAACATATAGTCCAACATGTATAGGGGCGCAAATGAATTGATCAAAGTTCGTGTCAACCCAGTCGCTAAATCTTTAGTACATCATAAGATTGTCATGTTCATCTATAAGCCACTCTCAAATAAGCTATTTTGCAGAGCTAAAAATGAGTTCAATTTGATTAACTTAGTCATTTGCAAGTCTTTGGCATGCATCTATCAGTCCATTATGAGCTTAACTCGCCTGACTAATTAGACAAGCTTGAACAGGCCTTGGATGAGCCAAACTCGAGTAGAGTGCAACTGGCTCAGTCATTTTACAACCCTAGGCACATATATCAACAAATTTAACAGAGCAAACTAAAAGTGCAATGGATGTCTCCAAATTCAGACCCAGAGGTACATGGGGAACAAAACAAAGAAAGGAAAACTAGAATTGACCTTAAATGCAGCATTGAGATTAAGTTGCATATACAATAAGGATAAAATTATTATTGTATCCTTATCAAGTAAAAGATTGTTCAAAAAGCACTTCCCATAAGGAATGAAAAAAAATTAAATTAAATTATCTCAATAGAGTAGATGAAGCGAAAGGCAGCAGAAAAAAAGGGTAGGATATTTGTGTCTTTAGAGATTCAAAAAAATAAATGAGATAAAGATCCAAATCTTTTGGCCAATTCATTTTATTTCGCTTTCTGAGCTAACAAATAGTTGGAATCTTGAATCCTTCAATTCACAGAATCAAACTGAACGAAGTAATTAGCAGTAATGGAATTTAACAAAATGACTACAAAAATTAGTTCAAAGTGTAATTAAAACATAAAGTTCATAATTATATTCGGAGTATAAGTTTGCACATTCATGGATTACAAATCTTATCAAAACACAATTGTCAATCAATTAAAACAACTAAACATTAGCTCAATTCATGACTACAGGAGAGATTAAAAATAAACTCAAAAACTTCATTATACCAGAAATCGAGCAGCAAAGCCAAATTAATTTTCCTGAAAAGAATAAAAATTATTATTTTTTACTTACTGGAGAAGAAGCAGAGAGAGCTGTGAGTTTCCAAAACATGTCGAGTGTCCGTGTGTATAGATATGTATAAGCAGACAGAGAAAGACGCGAGCTACACAAAGAGGGAGTTCTGAATTTAGATCTGTAAACCCTAAATTTGAATCAAGGCAAGGAGCAAATAGAAATGACCCCAGAATTAAGACGGATTTTTGAGCAAAATAGGTAGGTGATGTAGGGCAAAAACCCCAATTCCTAAAGATCGAAAATAGTGTGAAGCGGTAGAGATCGAGAGGACTTTTGATTTATGGTAGAAATTAAATTAGCAGGGGAAAACGAAAATGAAGGCCTTTGGACGAATTTGAAAGGGTGGAGAAGTCCAGAACCAAAATGAAAACGAAGGCCTTCTGTATGTATATGTGGATGTCAGATTTTCATATATGCACCATGAATTTTTATTAATTTGATCAATAAAATTATTTATTCTAAAAGTTGAGCGTGTTTGGTTATGCTTAGAGTAGGTGAATCTTACTTTTATGTTACCAAATTGTTCACACATAATTTTAAAAATTACTTTTTATCAGAAAGTAAGTTTTATTACACTTCATAAAAGAGTCATTTTAAAGTACAGCCAAACCTAAAAGTTTTTGAAATTAATTTTTTAGTTGATTCCTATATTATATTCCCTTATGGACAATGCTTCGTATTTGATGTTACTGAAATTCGACTATAAATTACTCTTTGTTCATTAAAATGGGTTTTAACGTAATGCTCGTAAGTATTGTACGTACGGTACAGTTCTAGTTGGACTAGAACATTAGCAAGACCGTCTATAATAAGGTTGATTTGGATCCATAGTGCTTGTGGAATTAAGATCTAATCTGCTAGTGTTGGTGATGTATTTTTATAATGCGTTGAGTCCATGATAGTGGTTTAAAATGGGGAGTTTAAAAGGGATCCTCCGATTTTAAAGTAAAAGATCGGGCATAGGGTGTGACCAAGTTTGGCCATATCAATGTGCGGTCTTGTCGTTGTGGAATCTATCAAACAAGGATTTTTCTAGTGAATTCAAATCAAAACAACGTTTGAACTCAGTGGAACAAAACAAAAATAAAACGATTGAACTACATGTACATAATATTTTACATATACATAATGTGAAGAGAAATGATTGAATCGAAATTTTTTCAGCCAAATGTAAAATAAATGTGTAAATCATTACGAAATTTCATTATGTATAAAAAGCATTATTCAAAATAAAATGACTAATGGTGTGCACTAAGATTAAAATTAAGAGGATGTTTGAGCACCGTTTTCTTTTGAGAATACATTTTGAAATAATAGATTTGTGAAAAATGTGTTGTTAAAAAATAAGAAGAAATTTTAAATTCGTGTGTAATATTATTTCATTAAAAATGTGTGGTTAAAAAGAAAAATAATAAAAATATATTTGTAAATAATGGAAATTAAATAGGGGCTAAAATAAGAATCCATTCAACCTCGCTCTATTAATTTTTTGATTTCTAGATGAACAAATTCAAACTTCCATTAATTATAAATTTTTCACATGATAGTGATGGTCCATTTCTGTGGCCGTGGTGTGACGTGGGCAAGGTCCCATGATATGACTTGATATACTGATTTGGTTCAAATTTTCTAAATTTTATTTTTTTTAAAAAATCATTTTCAACCATATATTTTATGATATTTATAAATTTTAATAACTTTTCAATCAAATATTTAGTTCTTGTTCAGGCCCCATTCTAACCCATGTTTGAGCCACATTTTAGAAAAAAAATGCATTATTCATATCAAATTAATGGAAAATGTGTGGTTAAAAATAAGAAAAAAATTTAAATTTGCTTGTAATATTATTTTATTGAAGAATGTGTGGTTGAAATGATGTCAAATTACTATTGAAGAATATATTTTTTTGAAAAAAATGTAGCTCAAACAAGCCCCTAATGTGATTTTGAAATAAATGTATTTTAAAATAACATTTTTTTGGAGAATGTGTGATTAAAAGAAATAAAGAAGAGTTTTGAAATTACGTGTAATATTATATTATGGAGAAATGTGCTCTTGAAAATGAGTTTTGAAAAAATTAATTTTGAAAATAATGGATCCCAAACAAGGGCTTAATCAACCTTTACCAACTTTTACTGACACCTATTTGCTAGGTATAAAAATAAATTTTTAGTAAATTTTGATAAAATTCAACGAAGAATTGCGGATCCTATAAGATATGTAGTTAAAATTTCATCGTTGATTAAATTAATAATTTTTTCCAAGTTGAAAGATCTTATCGGTATTTATTTAAAATTCGATTATATTCATTTATAATTTAAAGTGATTACAAATTTCCAACACATGTGTCGAGTCCACAACAACCACCATCGTAAATAACCTTTTGATTTGTGTAAGCAAAATCGGAGTAGGCACAATGTCGTGTGTGTTGTAAAATGATTAGATGATTATTTAGGCCCCGTTTGGTAGGGATTTTTTGCCCCAAAAAATTGATTTTCTGACCGTTATTTTACTATTCAAGCCGTAATTTTTGACTTCTTCTCTCACATGTGGACCCCATTTTTCTTTTAACGGTCAAAAAATCAATTCTCAAAATCCCTACCAAACGGGGCCTTAAGCTATGTCGGAATCGCATTCTTTAAAAAATACATTCTTAAACAATGATTTAATATCACTTCAATCACACATTTTTCGATAAAATAATATTTCACAAAAATTCAAAATTTTTCCTCATTTTTAGTCATACATTTTCCATCAATCTACTATTCCAAAATACATTCTTTCAAAATAATGTGGCTCAAACACACACTTAGTATTATCGTGGTACATAGATAGGTCTTATCTAGTTTAAACTATATATTTCATTTCAATTGTAACTCTTAATTCGAACCCTATAAATATAAGGCATTGGTAAATATAAGGCATTGGGTCTTACTAATACACATTTGAGTTTTGACTCTAATATTATCTTCTCTTTTCTCTTTTTTTTTTTTTTATAATACATTATCAGTACAAAAAGCTTAATTTTTCAAGATTTAGTGAATGTGGTAGTTTTTTTTATAAGCATAATTATATATCGCGTGTACCGAAATTAATTTGATGATACACGATTTTTTTTATATTATGTATTATAATTTTCAGACTATTGAATTTTCTATGTGTGCAAATTTTTATGTTGCTTGATTTTTATTATTATTATTTTTTTGCTTGTACAATCATACGTACCAAGCTTTCATCGCGATGAATCATTATACTTCTTTACAATTACGTTCGTACTATCACGAGAAAAAGCACGATATTTTGCCTGTACAGTTGCATTTGTACGCTTGTCAAATTGGGTACATTAATATTGTATTGATTTGTGTGATACCTCTTTTGTTTGCCACTGTAATTTGTTAATTCTACCTTTACGTTTGACAATTGAGAAAATCGGTGCATATTTGAAATTATTCGTAATCTATATTTGATAATTGATTTCTTTTAACCTAACTAAATAATTTTAGATGTTCTATTATAAATTTTAAACTAATAATTTTTCATGTTTTTGCTTCTAAAGTAGCAGAACATCTCAATTAATATTTTAAAAGAATATTAATAGTATAATTATCTATTATAAATAGTTTGTTGTTACTCTTGAAATAACACAACATTATAATTAATATTCTTAAAGAATATTACTTGCTCCTGAAAAGTGTAAACTATACTTTTTAATATTTCATAAGAATACTATTTGCTCTTAAAGAATATAAATTATAAATTTTTATATTTCATAATTAGCTAAAATAGGGACTAAATTCCCTGTTGAAAATTAATTAGGATGATAAATGGGCCCCATCATCCCCTATGTTGATCATCTAAATATTACTTATATTTTTATAGATTTGATACATATACTGAATGATTGCATGGAGGATGATGGTGTCTTGTTAATGCTGGCAATTCTAAATCTCAACATTTTAATAAATGTTATTTGGGATGTCAATAAATGGTTTAACACTATTGTTTGTTAAACGCCTCCACTTAATTTAATTGAGAACAAATTATTTCTTTTTCTTGTTTAGAAATTTCTATTACGCATCATGTCAGCATCATAGTTCTCCCTATTATAATTGGTTTATGATTAGAGCCATTTTTCTTCTAATTATTTTGATAGTGCAATATATATACAATTGATCCACCACAATGCACTGAGTTGAAAAATAACGAACACTGAGAATAAATGCGTAATTTAAACCCTTATCCCCAAATGTGTGATATTTTATAACGTTGGAAAAATTATTGTCTATTTGATTGGACAATTCTCTTGACATTAAGGGAGATGAATTAAGAAGTTGAAAATAATGTATAAATGCATCATCATCTAGATCCTCGCAAAAGATCACTCGAACTAGAAATTCAAAAGATATTTATTAGATGCATTTATTGACCAAACAAATCAACAATGTCTCACGCATTAATTTAAAATGCTCTAACACAAATTGATATCCTAGGATGATAATTTATTAGCATTATATTTGATATGTGTGTGTGTGGCACACCTGAAGCGTGATGGTATTCGATTCTATTACAAAAAGAATCTTCAAACTAAAAATTGAGCAATTAGCAAATATAGTCTCAATACGGAGACATAAACTTTTGATGAGAATTCAGACATAACGAATTATAAAATCCTAATAGAGCTTTAGGTACCTGGTATGTTAAAAATTGAGATATCTCAATAAGTCAAGTCATTATCGGAAGAGAAATAGAATTGAAGAGAAAAAAATTGTTGACAAGACTTTTGTACACGATATACTGCATCATATTATGAAAATTGAGGATATCGAAATAAATTTGTCATCAATCAAAGTAATGATTGGTCAAATAAAAATGATGCGATCATACTAACTTTAATTTACCGGAGAAACTTAAAATTTTTGGATCTACAATCTGAATACCCAAAAGTGTATAATTATGTGAAATGAAAATAGAAAAAGTAAAGTCGTAATATGAATTGTATGACTCTTTACCTAATAAATGTTGCAAAGACTCGTATCAATAGATAAGTTATCATTTGGTTGATGTAATCACAAGTCTTTATTTCATTAGCGTGACAGCGCATGGAATTTGATGTGTATGTAATAAATGTGATTATAGACAATTTATCGTGTATAGTTTTGATACTTTTCTTGAAGGATTTAATATATTTGAAGTATGAGGGGGAGTAAATATACGTTGTACTCTTTTTCCCTTTACCAAGATTATGTCGCATTAGATTTTCCTGGCAATATTTTTAATGATGTAATTTTTGTAGCGTATTCAAAAGAATAATATACTATTTTTCCTTCATTAGGATTTTTCCTAATAACGTTTTAATGATGCATATTCTTTTTCAATAATGTTCTTAACTTACAAGGCATCCACCATCAAAAGATATATCTTATATGTATGAGACTCTCGAAAGGATCAATAGAAACTATTTTATGAATCATCTTGTTATCACAGTTATCAAAGATTGATAAAACAGTTCTTATAAAGACGATGTTATTTGAAGAACAATATGAGACACTTCACCAGAAATTTATAATATTGAATATATTGATGTACGAAACATGGATAACTTCATACAAAAATTGAAATCAAGGGGAATAGCTGTACTTTTTTTCCTTCGATCGAGTTTTATTCCACTGAATTTTCTTGACAAGGTTTTAACGTGTCAGCATTTCATTACTTAAAATTACTTTTACTATTTTTTATTTGTTGGCATTTTCGTCCCATCGAATTTTTTGCCAAACAAAGTTTCAATGAGATAGTTATTTTACAAATAATCATCAAATGGAGATTGTTGTAAAAATAATGAGATAATTATTGATGATCATTTAATATTATCATAATACATAGATAAGTGTTATCTAGTTTAAAAGATTCATTTCATTCCAATTGTAATTAACAATGTACACTTAAATTTTGACTCTTATATTCTCTTCTCTCTCTTTATAACATGCCATTTATATTTAGTTTCCATTTTTGTCATTGCTAATTGCTCTGCCCTGTTGAATTTGGAGGGACGGCGCAGTGCGCACCATGTGCCCTTTATAACTTGTTAATAATAATTTGACTTCAGCACTAATAAGAAAAAGTTAATAGCTTGGTTGGTCAGGTTGATTAGTAAAGGCATAGGTGACTAATAATTTAAGCGACCAAGGGTTAATTAAAACATGAGGAAAGTAAAATAAAAGGCAAGATGACAACTCATCACTTTTAATGTTCTAAGGTTTTCTCATACACCCAAAAAATGAGCAATCCCCTGTTTAATTTAGATAAAAATTAGAATTTTAGTAAAATTTGATGAAATTACGATTAAAAAATTGTAGATTTCGTAAAATAAGTAATTTTAATTATTTATTGACTTTTACTTAAGTTTTAATTTCGATTATAAGTTTAACCAAATTGGGGCTAAATTATATTTACACTTATACGTCGTTTCAATTGTATATTTTATTTTGTTCATTTTCTATCACTCTCTAATTTATAGCTACATGTATCGAAAGATTCAATGCAATAACAATTAGTCCACTCGTACAATTTTCGTGTACATAATAGGTTATATCCCTCATATGAAGGGAGCTCAATGCATAATAAATTATATGCGAGCCTCCTTCATGTGGAGGGTGTAAAACATTATGTACACAAAAAATATACATATAGTATCACCCATGCAATAAAATGATTTCTTAAGGATTGTAAAAAATAAAATTGCGTCACTACTATGAATTGAAACCTCTTCATACCAGCACAACTAATGTCCCCATGACCTAAGTCGTCCACCCTTAATTTATCATCAATTAGTACTACCAGCACAAATGATATGATCTTATTTTCTGTCGAAAGAATTAAAATAAAATACAGGATCCTTTGAGAAAGCATTTAACTTCAAGTTGAATTTCAAAGAACTCAAATCTCCATAGCATATAATGCCAATTAATTTTCATCTCATTCTATTGAACCTCTTTTACATTTTTTATTTTGAGAGGGTGTTTGAGCCACAGTTTCAGGGAAAAAAAATATTTTAAAATAGTAAATTGATGGAGAATGTGTGGTTGAAAAATAAAGATTTTTTTTTGATTTACATGAAATGTGATTTTAATGAAGAATGCGTAGTTGAAAATAAGTGAGAGAAAATGCATTTTCAAAAAAATGGAAAACAAACAGGGTCTGAATGTTTCATCAGCTTTTAATTCATTTAAGAATAATGAGATTAAGCCCCTGTTTGAGCCACATTTTTACTTCATTAAAATGAAAAATATGACCGTTATCCATCACATCAAGCCACCATTTTTGAATTTATATCTCTGGTGTGGAGCCCATAACGGCTCTATTTCTCATTCTCATTATAATGTGGCTCAAACAGGCTCTAAGTTCCATATTTTTCAAAACTCGTTTTCAATTATGTATGTCGTGAAATTTACAAATTTTATCTATTTTTTTAACCACATAGTTCACCCATTTTAATTAAAATTTAATTTTTATTCAAACCAAATAGGAAACATATCAAGGCTATAGGTGATTTATGGTGACATTTATTTATTATTATTATTATTATGCACTACGTAGAGTGAACGCCACAGTATTACAGTGCCCTTTGTTTCGTTAAAAATGAAGAAATTATTCTTATTCTTTTAGGTGAAAAAGACGAAGACTTTTTGGTCGAATTTCAGGCGAGTCATCGCAGTCGATATAGATCAAAACGACGACGTTCGCATCGATAGCCGGAACCCCCACTCATATGTACTGTACTACATATCTGTTGATGCTGCTAATAGCGAAAATTCACCTGTGATAAGAGAGAGATGAACGTAAGACAGGGGGTGGTGCATCCGGTGGAGGCCCCGCCGCTGCAGACGGATGGGGCGGCAAATGTACTCCTGCCACGTGTTAGGATGAAGGATCTCCAGGGCATGCCGGGGACTGTAGGCGGCGTATTCTTGCGTTTTTCTCAATCGTTGTTTGCAGTGGTCGCTCTTTCCGTTATGGTCACCACCACCGACTTTGCTTCTGTCACCGCCTTCTGGTAATCCCTTTCGTGTTATAATTGGTCTTAATTTTCTTATTCTCCAGCAAAAAGGAAGATTGAATAAAATGAAGATTATTTCTTGAATCACTATATTCAGTTTCCATTTAGTCCAGGATCAGGTACGCGCCTGTCGTAGCTGGAGTTCGTGATAACTGATAACTACCTTGAGACCAACTAATGCATTTTTGTCTATATAACTTCCCCACTTTCCAAACCCATAGAAAGCCTTTGAAGTTAAGGGTGTGGAGTACAGAATAGGCCTGCCTAGTGTATGATACGATTGGCGCTTATACTTCTATTACTGCTCAAACTGAGAAAGCTCGTACAAAGTCAGTTTAATACAGTACAAACTACATAAGAATGACATGTCTTAAAAAACCCAAACTCACTTAAGGAGGAACGATTAAACCCAAGATAATTAAACCTGACCTTTAAGGTTGTAATGCATCTTGTACTTCCAGAGAAAGCTGCGTTCCAAGGTAAACTCTGGCCAATAGACTTTGCTTATTTCTTCCTTCATGGCTTTACCAATCATTAATTTTTGAGTTCTCAGTCTTTCTTATGCAACAATAAATGTTCCCCTAGTTCGCTTTACTTCAGGGTTTATCTTGCTGCTATTGTGAGTTTGTTGTGATCTAAGCAGTTAACAATCCTTTGACCTGTACTAAATATCTTTGTTGTACTAGCAGTGTAATAGTTCCTCTGTCTGATGTTTCTTCAACGACCTCACGACTTAAAATCAGAAGTTCCTTGTCACTAGGAAATGTGGTGCAAACTTGAATTGGCCTAATCCAAACAATTTAAACAAGATGCACGCGCTTCCTGCAACACTCACAGTTTTATGTTTTAGCATCACGTTGCTTGAAACGCTTCCTCCACTTCAATATTAAAATGATCTCAACCAAGTCTGACCATGCGATTTTTTGCACATTGCAACTGGGAGCTCATGTGGACTGCCTTAACCTGTAACCCTTTTTCAAAAAGATGTCTGATAGAGATGCTAACAGTGACAACCATTGATGTTCTGCATTAGAAGTCCCTGTTCCCTCTCCATTCAATTGGGGGCCTCGTAGGAAATTACGGTCTTATATGCACCCATTGCCTTTGTAAAATAAATATGACTCGGTTTGATTGTCCTTGCAATGATCCTGTCACTGAAACTCAAAATATGTGCTCTTTCCAGCTACCTTGTTGCTGCTACTAGTTTGCAGAGTATGTGGAGCCTTGCACTGGCAATTGTTGACATTTATGCCCTTCTAGTGGGACGCCACTTGCAAAATTATCGAGCTGTTAGTTTATTTTCTGTTGGTGATGGGGTAAGTTTGTTACAATTGTTTGCTTAGCACAATCACATATTTTTAAAAGCATTATGCTACTTGTACATTAAAATGGTACATAAGTGAGTACATAAAATGTTGTGGATGGAAATTATTGGATGAAAAAGTTGACTGTGTTTTAAACTGATAAATGATAGAATGATACGTGCCATTATGTAAAGCTTGATGTACATGTTGCAAGATCCTTTTCAGAAAAGACTTTTTGGGATAAACATGACTTGACAATCGTTGAGCTAGGTTGTAAAAAATATTTTTATGTTGGCACTTGTTAACGTACACGAATGTCGTGGAACCCAACTCATAGCATGAGAGCATTCATGAACATGGTTCGTATGGCCATTTTTTATTCAGTAATTTCTTTGACACTCAATATTAAAAGGCCTGTAAGCTTATATTAAGTTGAAGCACATTGAAGCAATAATGCTCGAACTCGGGTACGGGTACGTATCTAAGTGTCGGATATGTATATATTTTTTAAATGTAGGTTACGGAGACATGACTAAAAAGAATCCAAATTTTTGACACTGGTACGTGGGTACGTCTTTCAAATTTTAATTTTTTTTACTAATTCAAAATGTCATTTTAAATACACCAAAAACAATTGTTGACAGAGAAGGAAATAAGTATTGAATAAGGGATTAAGACGAATAAAATAAAATATTGGAGTTTAGTTTTCAATTATGAAAAGTTAATTACTATATGTTATATAAAATAGAAAATGAGGGACTTGATTGTAATTTGGACTTAGTGGAGCGCTAAGTAGCATTACATGGAACTCATTTTCATTTTATACAAACAAAGCCCTAAACCACCAATATAAAGAGGGAAAGAAGGAAAAGAATAGAAGAAAAGGGGAAGAAGAAGGAAAGAATGAGGGAAGACCTAGCACCGTCGCCTTTCTTCACCCTCTCAGAGGCGGCGCAAGGTTTATATAGAGTAGAAATGGGAAAGAAAAGGAAAAGGAAAAAAAAAAAAAGAAGAAAGAAGAAAAAGAAATAAACAAAAATGTCGAAGTGTACGGCTGAAATTTTGAGGATCCAACACATATTTTATACTCATATCCATGTCTTGTCGGACACGACACGGGCACTCTAACCATTTCAAAGAGTCCGAGCATCAGTGCATCGAAATATTGTTAAGGCAATTATATTTAGTATTGGTTTTTAATGACAAAATGCTTGCATATGAATTCCTAGGACCTACCATTTAAGCCAGAAATGTAACAGTCATCAGAAGTTTGGATTTGTAGGGACTATGAATTTCATATATAAATTGTAAATTATAGACTACAGTGTTCAAGGTGAGATGCTCTTTAGAAATGCACTGAAGCCTGTGGTTTAACAGCCATTATGCACACTCCTTTCCACAAATTTCCAATCTTGTGATGGGTTACAATATGAAGAAAGCCAGCAATATTTCATCTGTCATATCCGATATTCTTTCCCTCGTCTATCGATCCCCATACACACCAGATTCACCTCTGGCTCAGCACCCATTAATCATATTAGACATGTTTACTAGATTCTGCCGAAGTAATATTTCCTTGCAGCCTATAACAATGTTAAGGTCCATGCATCAACATTTAAACAAAACAAGAGGCTGCAGATAGAATTGGTTTATGATATACTTGATGCTTTTAGTCACCTTGATTCAATCATCTTCTCCTGCTATATTTTTTGACTGGATATTACTATCAATCTGTATTTAACAGTCGACCATGCTGTATACAAGTCACCCAACAATCAACTGTATGGTCTCGGGGGGGAGGGGGTGACTAAGAAAGAAGCAAAAATCTTGTTGATTGTACAGTTTACTGATGTTCTACTATGTAGAACAAGTAAACATATATGAAATGCATCTTTCTACTTGCTAAATTCAATCTGTCATGTTTCAGGTCACTTCTACTCTTACTTTTGCAGCAGCCTGTGCATCTGCAGGCATCACCGTTCTCATTGGCAACGATCTTAATGCCTGTGCCAATAACCATTGCACTCAGTATGAGACTGCTATAGCTATGGCCTTCCTTAGCTGGTTTGCTGCATTGCCATCATTTTTGTTTAACTTTTGGTTGTTGGCTTCTAGATGAGTAAAACCCCAACAGAATTCATAGCAGTGTCAATCACCAAAAGACCATTTTGAATTTCATTTTATAAATTCAGTTTTGTGCTGTTTTCGATTGATGGTATAGACTCAGGATTAGTTCATCCTTTGTACATAAATCATGCAAATGGGAAGTTGCTACAAAATGTTATTGATTACACAATAAAACTCTTTTTAGCAATATATATTCTTCTACGAGTAAAATTTTGCAAATGAGATAATGTTGTGGTTTAAAAACTCTCGTGAAATGAGATGTCAAAGTAGTTTCTTTAACAAATTCTGGTTTCAATATACATTCTTATTAAGCACCTGTATGACCTCCATTTATTGAAACTCAACACAACTGCATATTTTATTGATCTCACAACTTTTATCAACTTTTTAATCACATTCTCAATTTTTTAAAATAAAAATTTACAAAAAATCTAATTTAAGTTAAACCAAACATGGGGTAAATATGAATCACAATTTTCCAATATTTAATCTTGCGAAAGACAGCACCGCCCTTCTTTAACTTCATACAAATATATTTCAGGCACAAAGTTTGCCAAATCAATGGTCTACCTACAATAACACTACACGAAGGCAGAATTTACACTGGAGGATCAAAAATACTTCAGATGCATACAACATAATTTATATTAAAATAATGCAAACTGGGGTGAGGTAAACATTACAGAACTTGCTAATTCCTCCATAATCCATCTTTTCTCTTGAATCTTTTGTCTGATTTTCCATATACCACTGTGAACAGGGAAATTGCAATAACTGAAGTTTATCCTTCACACAAAAGACCAATTAACAAAAGCAAAGGCGAGGCAGTGGACAGCGTTATCTTCTGCTGCAACTTTCCACACGATGGCTTGTTCATATGAGACGTGGCGTCCCATCGTTGACAAACAGATCCCCCCAGGTAAGTAAGAAAATCCCTGCAAAGAATCGTAGAATTTATTATATCCATTTACGCAACCTTTCTAAAGAATTGATGCCAAAACTTGCACATGGGAGTATCAGGTTCTATGCGCCAAAACTTCCAAACTACATCCTAAACTAAGNTTCTAAAGAATTGATGCCAAAACTTGCACATGGGAGTATCAGGTTCTATGCGCCAAAACTTCCAAACTACATCCTAAACTAAGTGCAGTCACTTGTTATTTCGAGAAATGGTCGAACCAATGAGTAAAGAGGTCTTAATATCATTAAAATAGAAGATCTTGAAATCTAATTGACTAACTCGTTGAAACTTGCTGTAAATTGCAACTGAGCTTCTGCTTGATGCAATATGTCGTACTTAAGATGTAACTTATTTAAGGAAACGGAATAAATTATTTGGATAGCATGAAATTACCTGTTGTGTGATCTTAGCAAATTCTGAAAACATCGCTTTGCGTCCAGAATCATCAAATATCTTGTCTAATGTGATGTCTTGGAGAGCCACTAGAGTAGTTTCCAACATGTCAAGCCCAGCCTGGTTTGCAAATGTTAAAACTGGCAGTGCCTGCTAGAGAAGGTTACAAAAGAAATTAAACACGTCCATACAGAAAATCTTATATCAGACCGAGGCTACATGATCACAAGTTCATGTATCTCATCTTGAATGAAGACATGCAAGTGGTCTTGCATATATATGGACGCTTCACGTTGGGTGTTTGAGGGGAGTATGCAAAGCTATAGAAGTATCATCGAAAGAAAGGGATCAATTAAATTTAGAACCTTGCATACCTTCAATGAGCAGCATAAAATGGCATCTTGGTGATGCCAAAGTGTTTTCAATATTAATTCACCACTCAAAGAGTCAGTTCGCAGCAATTCAGCCCCTACATGATAGCTGCAAAAGCAGAAAGCATATTAGAAACATATACCAACATGAAGCAAGCCCAAAGAACAAGACGAGGCCAACCATTTCACTTTGCTTTCCTTCGAATGTTCATGTGCATGTGCACACCCAGTGGGGCTTTGACATGGAAGGACTTCAATTTTTCAAGAATTTCGACAATACTTTACAGGGTTGAGGAAAAAACATTGGCTAGGAACTTTGGAATCAGAAAGTATGAAAAACCAGCATAACTAACCTATAGCTCTGACAGATCCAATGTGCAAGTGTTACAGCTTCTGGAGAGCGAATAGAAGGCTTTTGCCCAATTGCAGGGCTCAAACTCGACGGAGATATGGCCATGGATACCCTCTGTACAGAGGAAATCACACTACGAACATACTGGCATGCAAATGTAGCAACACTCTCCTGTAAATTTCTCTCGAATGGGAATTGAAAAGCGAGTGTCAATACTGATCGTGCACTGAAAGATGATGCCGCATATCCCGCGGCATGATTGGCTGCCGGGCGAACTTCAAGACTTGATGTCAAATCTAGAGTTTTAAACGAAGTCAAAGGATCCTGTAAATCACCCTACACAAACAAACCATTAGTTATCGGAACTATGGGTAGCCAAAATGTAGGCATTATAATTTTAGTTAAGCAAAAGATAAAATAAATTGCACACCATAATCTAAATCTCATCCGTGATTCTAGTGGAAATATAAGCGAATGTAGTGTCATCTTACATATAAGGTTTGATAAAAAGCTTACAGAATAGAAGCCCCTTGACACACATTTAATACTAAAACATTGAACCATTTTGAAACAATCTTTCCAAGCATGAATATATTTTTCATGTTTAATACACAATACTAGATTCTAATGACGAAGATTTAGCTCCATTTTCTTCATTAATAGTGCACAACACCGTTCATTTATCCTTACCAAACAAAAATGCCAACGTTGTAACTTGTACAGCTCAGCCATGTTGCACGGCTGAGCCACGTTAAAGAAACAGAATATTTATACTAAAAACTGAATCTCTTGCAGGCTGCTAGAACAGTATCAAGCACAATCTTCTCGAGGAAAAAGATAAAGCAGGTTCAGGAAGAGAAATTTTAACTCAACTGATTTTGGATCCAGTGGGTTTACTCGAAAACCAGAAGGAAGTAGAGGTGCATCATCTGGAAACATTTCATCAATTGGGGCAAAAACTAGCTCAGAGCAGGCCCCTACTGTATTCTCGTCAACTCCACTACACATCTGTAGATAAGGATCAATTTATCAAGTGTATATCTTTAGGTTTGGTGCATCAGTAGTTACTAAGTTCATTCAAATGACATTACACTACTCAAGAAAGCCACCTGCAGAAGATGAATGTCTCTCGAAATATAAGCATCTTCATGACTGAGTGGATCTCCTTCCAAACGAATCATTTCAAGCATCTGGAAGACGAAACAAAAATCAAAGTGAGATGAAATTATG